GAAAATTCAACACAAATATAGTAAGCATAATAGCATCATAATACATTAATACAAAATACATTAAAATACAGATCATACAATATCATACAATTACAAAAGCCAGGTCGTCAGAATAAAATCACAAATTCATCGCCATCCGCCGGTGTGGTCAACCGTTATTAACTCGATCATAATTCTGCAAATGCTATATTCCAAAGCCAGGTTTTTACAAGCTTTCTGAAAGTCAGGAGGGAGGAGGCAGATCTAATCTCCAATGGGAGAGAGTTCCAGAGCCGAGGGGCCACCACCGAGAAGGCCCTGTCCCTTGTCCCCACCAGACGCGATTGCGAAGGTGGTGGGACCGAGAGCAGGGCCCCTCCAGAAGATCTTAACAACCTTGATGGTTCATAGGGGAGAATCTGTTCGGACAGGTAAACTGGGCCGGAGTCGTTTAGGGATTTATAGGTCAACTCCAGCACTTTGAATTGTGAGTAGGCAAACCAGACAATCTCCACATCAACACTGGCAAAGAAACAGAAAGAAGTGCTATTTACCCACAAGCATAAAGGCATTACATATATTAGAAACTAACACTTTCTCATTACTTTATTTTCCAGATCACCAGACTGGGCCACAGCAACGCGTGGCAGGCGACCGCTAGTATATAATATAAAAAACACCAGCAACAATAAAATCAAACATTATAATGAAAACATGCTTCAATCGATAATCATTAAAACAATGTCCAGTTCTGCCATATAGTTATTTCATTATTACATCAGTTACTCCGTATTTTCAAATGCCCGCTCAAATAGCCATGTCTTAAGATTCTTCCGGAATGATAGGAGCGAGGAAGCCGATCTAATCTCTCTAGGAAGGGCGTTCCATAGCCGAGGGGCCACCACTGAGAAGGCCCTGTCTCTCGTTCCCGCCAACCGTACTTTTGATGATGGCAGGACCGAGAGCAGGGCATCTCCAGATGATCTTAAAGTCCTTGCAGGTTCATAAGGGGAGATTCATTCGGACAGATAAGTTGGGCCAGAACCGTTTAGAGCTTTATAGGCTAAAGCCAGCACTTTGAATTGTGCCTGGTAGCGAACTGGCAGCCAGTGGAGCTGGCGCAACAAGGGAGTTGTATGCTCCTTGAGAGCTGCTCCAGTTAGCAATCTGGCTGCTGTCCGTTGGACCAGTTGAAGCTTCCGGACAGTCTTCAAAGGCAACCCCACGTAGAGAGCTTTGCAGTAGTCTATACGGGATGTAACAAGAGTGTGAACTACCGTGGCCAAGTCAGACTTCCCAAGGTACGGGCGCAGCTGATGCACAAGCTTTAACTGTGCGAATGCTCCCCTGGTCATCGCCGAGACCTGAGGTTCCAGGCTCAGCGATGAATCCAGGATCACACCCAGACTGCGAACCTGTGTCTTCAGGGGCAGTGTGACCCCATCCAACACAGGCTGTAACCTTATGCCCTGTTTGGCCTTACGACTGACCAGGAGTACCTCTGTCTTGTCTGGATTCAATTTCAATTTGTTAGCCCTCATCCAGATCGTCACAGCAGCCAAGCACCGGTTCAGGACCTGAACAGCCTCCTTAGAAGCAGGTGGAAAGGAGTGACAGAGTTGGACATCATCTGCGTACAGATGACACCGCACCCCGAAACTCTGGATGATCTCTCCCAGTGGCTTCATGTATATGTTGAACAACATGGGAGACAGTATTGAACCCTGAGGAACCCCACAAGAAAATGGTTGTGGGGCTGAACAGGTGTCTCCTAATGACACCATCTGGGTACGAGCCACCGTAGAACAGTGCCTCCAAGGCCCATTCCAGCAAGGCGTCCCAGAAGGATACCGTGGTCGACGGTATCGAAGGCTGCTGAGAGGTCCAGCAGAACTAACAGGGACACACTCCCCCTGTCTAGCTCCCAGTGTAGATCATCAACCAAGGCAACCAAGGCTGTCTCGGTTCCATGACCGGGTCTAAAGCCAGATTGTGCTGGATCCAGATAATCTGTCTCTTCCAAGAATACCTGGAGTTGTGAGGTCACCACACGTTCCAGGACTTTGCCCAAAAAGGGTGGATTGGAAACAGACTGATAGTTGATTAATTGAGTGGGGTCCAGTGATGGTTTCTTCAATACCGGTTTTATTATAGCTTGTTTTAAGCTTGCTGGAAAAATGCCTTCCCAAAGGGAGGCATTAACCACCACCTTTACCCATTCAGCCAATCCCCCTCTGGCCTCCTTTAAAAGCCAGGATGGGCAGGGGTCTAGGATGCATGTGGTTGCCCTCATCCCTCCAAGTATCTTGTCCACATCCTCGGGTTTCACTAATTGAAATGAATCCATTAAAACTGGACAAGCAGATGCTCGTGTTACATCCTCAGAGACTGCCGTTAACGTGGTGTCCAGGCCAGAACGGATCAGAGCAACTTTGTCCGTGAAGAACCGAGCAAACACTTCACAACGGGCTGTCGAGTTGTCAGGGCTCCCATCCTGACTGCGGGATGGGGCACCGGGTCAGGGAGACCACTGCAAACCCACTTCCCCGCCCCCAGATCTTGGTTGGTGCTGCACGGAGTAACCTGGTGGACAAAGCTGGGTCAGATTTACACCTCCAGCCTCGTCCAACCAGGTTTCCGTTATACACGCCAGATCTGCCCGTTCATCCAATATTAGATCTTGGATGAAAGTTGTTTTACCATTGACAGATCTGGCATTCAACAGCACCACCTTTAATCCGGAGGGACCGCCATCCTGGGTACTCCAATTTACCATGTCAGGAGACCGATTTGGAACTACTAATGTTGTCACACGATCCCTAGGCCGAATTAATGGTCTCCCTTTCTCGTATCTCTCCCTCCCTGTTATTACTCTTATGGGGCCCCCCGGCCAATGGAACTCCCATCTCCTGTGACATGCTTCATATTCCTATTTTCAACCCCTGAATCAGTTGTAATCAATTGGTTCAATGGCATTTCTTTTAGAGTTAACCCTCCCAACCATTCATTTCCCGCCCCCGCCCTGCAAATTTCAGACCCGTCCTGCCTGCCCCAATCGTCACCCCCATCAAAAAGTGTAAACATGATTACTACATATAGCAGCTTAGTGTATTACTACATATAGCAGCTTAGGGGGGAACATGGGGAATGGTTGTTAGATAGATGATAAGTAAAAAGTCTAAATAAAGACTAAATAAAGACACTGGCTGCCAATTAGCTTCCGAGCACAATTCAAAGTGCTGGTGTTAACCTATAAAGCGCTAAATGACTCCGACCCAGTTTACCTGTCCGAACGTATTCTCCCCTATGAACCATCAAGATTGTTAAGATCGTCTGGAGGGGCCCTGCTCTTGATCCCACCAGCCTCAGAAGCGCGTCTGGTGGGGACGAGGGACAGGGCCTTCTCGGTGGTGGCCCCTCGGCTCTGGAACTCTCTCCCACTGGAGATCAGAACTGCCCCTTCTATTTTGACGTTCAGAAAACAGGTAAAAACTTGGCTCTGGAAATTGGCATTCGACGAGTGAGTCAATGTTCTGTGATATGGATGGATGATGACGAACAACGATTTTATTGTGACGACTGACCATTGTAATTATATGACTGCATTTTGCTATTTTAATGTTTTTTGTCTAATATGCAATATGATGTTTTTTAATGACTGTTTGTGATATTACTGTTGGAAACCGGCCTGAGTCCCTCGATGGAGGTGAGAAGACCGGTATACAAAACTGCCAAATAAATAAATAAATAAATAAAGTGCAGGTGAATGGAAGTCCGTACTTAGTTTGTAAAGTGCTAGGGTGTGAAAATAGAGTCAATAAAGTCTTGGTGGGATTTATTGTTGTTTAAAGTGCTACTGGTTATTCTATAAAGTGCAATAAACGAGGGGGTGTGTGTGTGTTAATAGGATAAAGTGCTGTATAAAGAGCGAGCATTAGCAGCAAATTTCAATATAGCAGCTGAGTAACAGTAGTGGTTCTTCCAATGTCTTAGTTCCTTGAACATATGGGCGAATTGATTTTAATTCATAAAATCTGGTCCACGAGCTTCTTTCCTCTTTATTCTATTTTATTTTCTCTCTTTTCATGCTGCCTGCCACTCCTTCACTGATGCTGACCATGGCATATGTTCGGTATCAGAAACTAGAGCTGATATGGTCGATCCAATACAATTTTCTGAATTA